AGGTCCTGTATCGGGCCCATTGTGACTAACAAAGCCTGCAGTCATGATTCCGAGTCTCCAACTCTGGATACCGAGATGAAATTACGAATATTCCACAACTTCTAGCAGGTTTGGAAGGTTTATCTGAAGTTGGGAGTTATGAAGTCGGTAATTATAGGAAAACAATGGCGCTGTTCCGTATATTTATGCAAAGGCCCACCACTAAATAGGCTGTCGCGCGGTTCCTTTTGTGCCACTGAAAACCTTCTGATGAAGTTTCAAGATTCTTTTTTGAATATGTTTTCATTGTTTCGTACTCCAGTCTACTTCTGGCAGATCTTTTACGGCCGCGACAAACGAACGGATATATAACGAACTTTAATAAATAACTCCAAGAAATGTTTCACCCCAATATAGTCGTGGCAATAACCTATACAGGGAGATGTAAAAACTTCACAACGATAAGATTTTCGATTAATCGTTGTGAAGTTTTTACATTTGTCATGGATTTCGGCATCAATTTTGATAGTCGATAAAACAACGGGAAATAAGTAGACTTTCATGAAAAAAACTCTGGTTGAGGAAATTCTCCAGTCGGCATCTTCTTCTCTTTCGGTGTCACTTTTGGGATTCCTTGTTCCATTCTAAGAATAAAAATACATTTGCAAATTTTCGTTTGATGGCTGCGTTTTTTATACTCATTTAAATTTGAAGGGTTGCAAAAAGACTTGAGCTTATAAGATTCTGTACCAGGCTGTGAATAGTATGCTTCGAATAATCTTCATGAAGTACATATACAGGAGAAATCAAGACGAGTTGATTTATATATATATGAGAACATTTTTTGACCCAGCATAACGAAGATTCAGGGTGTTATGTGAAATTGCTATATATACCTTTGATGGTCGATATTACAGAAATGATTCGTCGTAATCTGCTCAAATTTGGTAGCGACGTATCTCTACTGAAACTATTCAAGATAACATATTATGAAAAAAAAATATCCAGGTCCGGACTCAGGAAAATTTTATGTTTCATTGTTATTTCAAAAAAGTTCACTTTGTGACCACTTTTCTCGAAAAATTCCATCAGATTCAGAAAGATCAGACAAAATTTTTGTTGAATAATAATTGACAGAAAGATAGACGAGAAAAAAAAACACGATATTTTTTATCGCAATTCCAGATAGATATTATTATTCCTGACTTTGTTTAATGGGTGTAGCTTGAAGTGAGATAATTCGATCGAAATTGAAAATTCATTCGAACGTTTTTGTTTCATATTTTTTTATTGAACCGATCAAAGTGTGCCGTGTAAATTGAAGAGCAGTTCTTATAGCATTTTGTCTGATCTTTCTGAATCTGATGGAATTTTTCGAGAAAAGGGGTCGAAAAGTGAACTGTTTTGACATAACAATGAAACACAAAATTTTCCCAAGTCCGGACCTGGATACTTTTATTCATAATATGTTATCTTGAAAATAGTTTCAGTAGATATACGTCGCTGCCAAATTTCAGCAGATTACGACGAATCATTTCTGTAATATAGACCATTAAAGTTATATAGCAATTTCACATAATACACTGTACCTTCTTCATGGAGGGTCAAAAAATGTTTTCATACATATACATCATCTCGTCTTGATTTCCCCTATTAACCATTTGGCTATGTGAGTCTTCTCATGAAACATCCTGTATATGATTCCGGCTCGTCGGGAACTCAATCGAAGTGACATCCTGAATATTTTTTAGAAAAGATTTTCAACCAAAGTTCCTTCATGAAAGTCTATTTCTTTCCCGTTGTTCTATCGCCTATAAAAATTGATGACGTTCAACCTGGATCACCTTGTATATAAGAATGTGAAGAATGGAGTTGGATTAATTTCAAATTGGAGCAAATTTCGAAGAAACAGCAGAAATATCAATTCTGCAGCTCACAACACACAACAGAAGTGAGAAAAAGTCACAGCAGATGATAAATTCTTCTCAACAAATGTTCATTGAAAACTCTATCTCGAGGGCTTGCTCTTTTCTCAGGTGATATGGGTGAAAACAATGTTGATGAATAATACGCCAAACCATATTTTGCAATGACCAACTACTGACTGTTATCCGGATACTTACCTATTCAGAACTGTATAAAACATGACCACAATTCATCTTAATAGAGTTTCTTATAGTTATAATCTTTTCGAATACCCCTCGTAGTTCCTATAATCACGTGCGACTTTATAAATTAACAGCCATCTGAATGAGTTCATGGTTGTAGAGTATAGTACATCGCTCTACGAGGGATTATCCCTTTCTATTTTGAAATGGAGAGAAACGTGTACAGGGTGGCTGGAATTTGATGCATAACAAAATATCGTTTTGAAATTCCGAATACTCCCAAATATTTTCGATTTCATTTGAATTTTTTTATGAATTAATTTTAATAGATGGTACAAAAGAAATTAAACATTCTTGTTTCTCTTTTTTCTGTTCTACAAGATGGTGTTATCAAGATTTTCAAACCGTCGTTTCGTCTTCAAGCTGCCATCATCAAATTTGTATCTTTAAATACGGCCCTAGATTTTTTATTATTGATTTCAAGAATTTCTGATGTGGCAAAACCTTTTTTTATTGAGTGCGATAGGTACATTGTTGATTACAAGAGATTGACATCTCTCACAATCCATAATAAAAAATCCAGGGCAGTATTCAAAAGAACAAAGTTGATGATGGCAGCTCAGAGCCGAAACGTCGGTTTGAGGATATGATAACACCATCTTGAGTATGTGTAATTTGTTTTGTTACATCTATTCAAATAGAGTCAGTCATAAGAAAAGAAATCGCGAATAATCAGTTTTTTCGAAAACTCTCTGCTAGTATTCGGACCGACCCTGTATATCTTACGGTTTACGAGATCCCAATGATAGGGCTCAAATTCCACCCACCCTGTGCTTACGTGAAATTAAATCTTCACGGGTTATTTTCCACTCCAACAATAATTGTCCGATAATGTAATCCCAGAGGAAAAGACGGATTGGATTCAGTCAAAACTTTGATAAACTCACCTTAACCGTCGGGCTTCTTCATGAAGAAAGATAATTGGAAAATTTCTGCAGTGCTCAGCTTCCTCCTGAAAAAACAAAAAACTGAAAATATTTCACTATAAAATATTAATTTACTTTAATATAATATAAACATAGGCTTGGGAATAATATTGTCAACATGTTGCATACATTGGAGAATGAAAGATCTTAGCGAATATTTCATGAATAGCAACCAGGAAGTGCGTAGACTGTTCACTGTTTCTCATACTTTTTGAGGTGCTGAAACAGAAACGGAAGTAATTTGACGTCAAAAGAACGTCTATCGACAGGATGCAATTCCCACCAACACATTCCTATTATCTTTTTATGCCCTTTGTTGGGACTCCAGATGAAATGGGGTATAAAGACGTTAACTAGCATGTTCCTGAAAGAATACATCAATTGTGGTATTATTATCTCCACTCAAATTATCGAGCACATTTTCACATTATGCTTCTAGAAAGTGAGATTTTTAAAATTTCAGATAACAATGACCGACTTTTATAGAATCTCTGTGACCTAAATTCAGTTCCATCAGAAACTTTCCACTGACTTCCACTGGAATCCAGTGATACCCAGAGGCATCCCATTGACCCAATCGAGTTCCAGTGGCCCCTACATACCGCTACAAAGTTGTATACATCGACTTCCAGATGCCTAATATTTGGTATTTTCATAAAGTTACAATGACCACATTGAGTTCCATTTTCTTCTATTGATATATTGATGAATCTCAGCTTCTTTCAATGGGTCCTTGTCCGTTCCAGTGACACCAAACAGAATTCTTTGAGTCACAATGGATTCCATTGAATTCCAATGACTTCCATGAGTTCCAGTGACTCCTGTGAGTCCTATTGACGTCCATGGAGTTCCAGAGACCCCCAAAGGCTTCTATTGCATTCCAATAACTATCATTGAGCTTCAATGACTCCCATGAAGTATCAGCTGATCTCAGACACCTTCAATGAGTTCCACTGTCTTTCACTGAGTTCCAGTGACACGAAACGAAATCGTTTGAGTCACAATGGTTTCCATCAAATTCCAATGAGACTTCCACATACCGTTACATAGTTACACACATTGAGTTCCAGAGGATCTCAGTGACTTTCAATGTCTGTTATTGGGTATTTTTATGAAGTTTCTTAGTCTAATGAATCTCAGCTACTTTCAATGAGTCCTAGTCAGCTCCAGTGACACCAAACGAAATCCTTCGAGTCACAATGGATTCCATTGAATTTCAATGAGTTCCAGTGGCTCCTGTGAGTCCCATTGACGACCATGGAGTTCAAGAGACCAAAGGTTTCTATTGCATTCCAATAACTATCATTAAGCTTCAATGACTCTCATGAAGTATCAGCTCACCTCGAATACTTTGAATGAGTTCCAGAGTTCCGGTAACACCAACCGAAATCCTTTGAGTCACAATGGTTTCCAGTGACTTTCACATTCCGCTACATAGTTGCACATATCAAGTTCCATTGACTTCCAGAGGATCTCAGTGACTTTCAATGTCTGTTATTGGGTATCTGTATGAAGTTTCAATGACTATATGAGCCCCATTGACAGTATCGACATCTATTAGTGTATTAGTGTCTCTGATACTTTCAATGAGTTCCAGTGAGTTTTAGTCACACCAAACGAAATCCTTGAAGTCACAATAGTCTCAATTGAATTCCAATAAGTTCCAGTGACTTCTGTTGAAACCCATTAACTTCCACCGAGCCTCAGAAACTTCAATGAAGTTTCAGCATATCTCAGAGACTTTCAATGAGTTCCAGTGTCTTCCACTAAGTTCCAGAGTTTCCAGACGACATTATTCGAGTTCCAGTGATCTCCATCAAATTCCAATGACTTCTTTTTTTCTTTTTTTCAGTCCCATTGACTTCCAGTGACTCCAAGAGACTCTCATAGAGATCCATAGACTAACATTGAGTTCCATTTTTTCCAGGACTCGAACACGCTGAGGAAAGGCTGCACGAGGAAATGGACCAGCCTGAAGCAGCACCCGAAACTCTGCGGGGGCGAGCAGCTGCTGCAGGAGATGGGCACGAGCGCCTCCCTATCTACTACCCCCTCTTCGACAGCCCACCCCAGTCCCCTGCTGGCATCCGGCGGGGGGGTGGCCGAGGGGGCGCGAAAAAGCAACTGGCAGGTCATCGAGCACTTCGGCTCGAAGGATAAGAACAGCCTGTCGTCCAGCCTGATAGCGGTGAGTACCTATACAAGGTGTCCTCAGGGGCTCAAAACTTGTGAGTACGGGAATGGTGAACCCGAGGTACCCTAGCCGGATATTCACCACACTTCAACTTGTCTTGGGTGATATCCTCTTCTCTCGTCCTTTTTCAATCTATCTATCGGCCTTTCTTGGCCAACTTCTCTTTTCCTCCTCCCCTCCAAGCCCAACCTCACCATCAAATGGTGTGGGGAAGACAGACCGCGGCCGCTCGACGGATGAAGCATTTTGGAACCATCTTTGCTGTCTCCGGGCCAGATAATAGTTTTTCTCGGATTTTGTTGATTGAGGAAATAAGTAGACGTCTACTCTGGTACTGCTATAATTTTTATTATTGAGGTCTTGATCCTCAACTGAGATTCTCCTGAAACTACGATTTTAGAGATGTTACAGTATTCAACTGGGGTATCGATATTGCTGACTTTATAGACGATTACTAAAACCCACTTGATATTCGTGAGACCAATTCGATTGCATTTTATCGTGTATCTACAGGAATTTTATGGGCCGACATGCCATCGCTGTGTAGTACATGGTACATTGCACTATACTTACTATTATACTATGTGCACGTGAGAAATCAAACGCTGGCGGTTGCAACGACACGCGATGGCGGGTCGACGATCGAATTATTTTTGCGAATCAGAATAGAAGAAGAGTCGAGTGATATGGAGATTCAGGTAAAGACGTCCATTTACTTCACTCGAAAGCTGGGAAGAAAAATCAGAATCATCATCTGATTATATTCATGAGTGTTTTCAAGTATTTCTAGACATCCTTCATAAGTATATTATTTAACGAGCGCTTATGCAGGTCATAGTTATGACCATTACCGCAAGTTGAATACTATACTTCATTTATTTCGATGCTTTGTATTACTATCAGCAATAACCTTTCTTGGGAAAATCACGTGAGATCAATTGCTGAAAGTGCATCCCAAAATCTCGGTTTTCTGTTTCTGGCCAGGAGCTATTTCACTTCCAGTCAGCTGCTTATGATCTATAAGGCACAGATCCGACGTGTCCTGGAATACTGATCCCATATTTGGAGTGCAGCACCCAAACATACCCTGAAACTTGGATTCTGTCCAAAAAACGGCAATCCGTCTAGTGGGTGATGCCTCGCTCACAAACTCACTCACTTCTCTGGAACATCGTAGAAAAGTTGGCGATCTTGCTCTATTTCATTGATATTTTCATGGACGATGCTCTTTTGAAATATCAACAATTGTACCTCCCTTGGCAGTTCCCGAGAGATTAGCCCGCCGAGTTGAGGCTTCGCACCCCTTCGTGGTTACTTTGGAGACCTGCAGATCATCTCTCTCCACAGACTCGTTCATCCAACGAACAGCGAGGCTCTGGAACACAATGCCAAGGGAGGTGTTTCCCGAGGCATATAACCTCCAGAAATTCAAGAAGAACACCAATTCCTACCTCATTTCCCTTGGTTCTCACGATGTTCTCTGAGCATTACAGGATATCCCCAGAACATAAAAAAACTATCAAAGAATGGAATTTATTCGCAAATCTTAATGATAATCTATAACAATGCTATGAAATTCATAGATTGTCCCAATGGATGAGATTTTCGCAGTGCTGAAGGACGCTGAGGTTACTATCTAGAAAAAAGCCCTAGAAATTTTACACTCTCACCTCTTTCTATCTCAATACCGGATATTTCGATATTAATGTCTACCGTGTTAGTATTTTGGACGGTATGTAAAGCTACTGCTTTCGTATCATGAGCATTCTATAATGACGAGTTTCCACTGAACCAATTTTGCAAGCTGATAAGATCAGAATTGATATTTTGTTGCAATTCAATCACACCTTCTCATTTGAATAGGAGAGAAGAGTCATGAGCATATAAACAACTGAATGACTTTGGCAGCTCATTGACATAAAGAATAAAGAGGATGGGCCCTAAAACTGATCCTTGGGGTACACCTATGTCATTTATTTACTGTTCAGAAAAGATAGTTTCATTATAATATTGTATTTAGACTGTCTGGGTGGGTCATTGATGCTGAATACCTCTAAAACCAGTTTTATACAGTTTGTCTAAAATATTTTCGTGTTGTACGCAGTCAAAGCGACTGAGGTCACAAAAAATACCAGTGGAATTTTCACCCGCTTCAACAGATTGTAGAAGATTCGAATGAAACGAAATTATGGCCGTTGTGATATCTTCAGAAACTAAACCTCCCGGAAAAAATGTAACACAAAATATTTCATTTTTTGAATTTATGAGGACTACTTATATCCAGGACGAATAATCAACTAAATCTCTGCTGACACATTTTCCCCAATTATCACTGTGCCCAATTTTTTCTACATTCTCCGAATACACGTTATTTTGTATCGTTCGATTTCTCCGCCTGTCTGCACCCCCCATTATTCCTTGTTATGGGAGTTCGTGTAGAGGAAAGCTTTCCCGACTTCACATTTTATTTCTTGATGCACAATAAAGTGCCTCGCATCACGTGAATCATAATTTCGTCTTGTCGCCTTTTTGGCTAAACGGCTCATTCTTGGAAGTGAGCCAGGAATCGAAAATACGAGTCCCATAAACGGCGTGTCATAATATTATATCTCCATAGTAGGGAAGCCCAAGCGGGTATTTCGGGATTTGCTCGAGCACGGCAGATTTTTTTATCGCTTGGGGCGCACGAAAGGGAATCCCTATAATGTTCAAAGAACATCGTGCGTTCCTAGCGAGGATAGGGACAGGAGGTAGGTATTGGATTGTTTTTTAAACTTCTGGCGATTATATGTCGTTGGGAATTCTTCCTCAGGCAATGAATTCCAGAGCCTAGCCGTTCTATGGATGAAGGAGTTTTGATAAAGTGCTGTTCGACATCTTTCGAGGTTGACAACGAAAGGATGTGCTGACTGGGCTTGTCTAGTTCGTCTGACTGGCATTGCTAGTGAAGGGATGGTAGCAGAGATTTCCAAGGAACATTTCCCGTGGAAGTATCGATAGAAAACTGAAGGACTCCCACCATACTTGGGCCTTTATATGTTGTCGAAAGTGTGCGGCAGCCGATCAGATTACTAAAAAAATCGATCGTCAGAAACACTCGAGGTACGTTAATTAAATAGTGGTCGACGGAGTTTCATCTGACTCTTATCATAAATGCTGGTGTTCCGCAAGAATCGATTCTAGCACCAACACTATTTCTACTCCATATCAACGATTTGTTCGAAGCAACTTCATGTCCAGTACACAGCTTCGCGGATGATAGTACTTCTCTTCCAGGACTTCAATACCAGCCAGGCGAATCAGAAACGAACGAGGGAGAAATGTTGACGACATAAATATGGACTTGGCAACAATTCTCGAATGGGGATCCAATAACTTGGTAGATTTCAATACAAACAAAACACAAGCATGCCTTTTCTCTAGAAAAGCCCATCTGACTGTGCCCAACATAAGCTTTTCAGGAGTAACCATACCATTGAAGACATTTCGATGCTTGGTATTACTATCAGCAATAACCTTTCTTGGTAAAATCACATGAGATCAATTGCTAAAAGTGCATCCCAAAAACTTGGTTTTCTGTTTCGGGCCAGGAACTATTTCACTTCCAGTCAGCTGCTTATGATCTTTAAGGCACAGATCCGACCTGTCCTGGAATACTGTTCCCAAATTTGGAGTGCAGCACCCAAACATACTCTGAAACTGTGGGATTCTGTCCAAAAAAGGGCAATTCGTCTCGTGGGTGATGCCTCGCTCACAAACTCACTCACTTCTCTGAAACACCGTTGAAAAGTTGGCGATCTGGCTCTATTTCATAGATATTTTCATGGACGATACTCTTCTGGAATATCAACAATTGTTCCTCTCTTGGCAGTCCCCGCTAGATTAACCCGTCGAGTTGAGGCTTCGCACCCCTTCGTGGTCACTTTGGAGACCTCCAGAACATCTCTTTCCAATGACTCGTTCATCCAACTAACAGCGAGGCTCTGGAACACATTGCCAAGGGAGGTGTTCCCCGAGGCATATAACCTCCAGAAATTTAAGAAGAACAACAATTCCAACCTCATTTCCCTTGGTTCTCACGATGTTCTCTGAACATTACAGGATATCGACACAAAAAAATCCTGAAATTGAAAAATCTCGATTTTGAGCACCCTATATCTCCGTAATCATTCCTGCTATACCCTAAGTGTGATGCATTGATGAAATCAGCTCTTCAGGAAGAATATAAAAATGCAATAAAATACAGGGTGTTCCATTTGAAATAACAAAGTTGCTAGTTGTTTCTGATAGAAGTGGCAACACTGTTCCGATCAACATATTTTAGACGGATAGAGAATGTTCAATTATCAAAGCATCACAATTTTCAGAATGTTCTGTCTTTTGGTTCTCCAGATACTTCTAATAGGCCATCCACCGTGGATCATCCTGTATAATGGAATATGATTGTAAAGTCGTATAATTATTTGGAGCAGTTTTCAAGGAAAAAGGAATTTCAATCTAATTCAATTTGTAAATAAAAAGAAAATTAAATGAAAAGTAGTTTACTTATCTTGAACTGAAAAGGTAAAATAACTACTGTTGAAAAACGGACGTTTGGGATTTTGTTCTTTACAGCATTTATAAATGAAAGGGAGTTTTTTCCTTCCAATTACACGATTCTATTCCATCACTTCAGACTCTGGCTTGCTATGAAAACTCTCCGAAGTAATTTCCATACGAAAATTCCAACTTTTTCTTGTTGACAAAACAAATTTTGCTTCTGGGAAAACTCCCACCCATTAAAAATTCGTAACTAAATAGCGTACCGAGAAAAACAACATTTAAGTACAAGTCGCCTCTCGATGTTTTAATAATTCAAAATGTTCAGAGATGAGAATATGAGATTCTTTATTCAATTTTAACCTTATATCTGGTCCTGATTCCTGGTTGATATTATTTCAGACTCCATATTTCTGTCACATATCTCAAAAACTGGAGCAACATTGAATGAAATAAACAACTCTCTGATTGAAATGGACCAAATTCAGAAATATACAGGGTGTCTGTGAAAGGTCTTTAAAAAAACATACCACATATTCCCTACACCAAAATAAGTCGATTTAAGTAAAATTTCCTTAGTACAAAGTTGCATCGTTTGGGCTCCAGAGGTCCTTGAAGTTACAATTTTTGAATCGTTTTTCCCATATAAATTCAAAACGGCATATGCGATTTTGCTGAAATTTAGTATATTGATAGAGTTTTATGTGGCAAAAAAAATTGTGTTAAAATTTTGTCCGATAATAATACATAGGCGTAGAACTTGATTTTTTAAATAATTGCACCTTTAAAATTTCTACGTCAATGGAAGAAAAGGAGTTTGAGTATAAAATTTAGATTGCCAAACTCATTTACTTTAAAAAATGTACTCTTGATAAGACTCGATTGCTCTCATGGTTTTGACAAAATTTGCATTTAAGTAATTTTAGAACATGAACAATAATTATTAAAATACAAACTTTGTCAAAACCATGAGAGTAGATCGAGTGTTATCACAGTAGGGTGTATACTGTGGTGTTATCAAGGGTACTTTTTTGAAGTAATTCGAATTTTAACACAATTTTTTTGCCACATGAAACTCTATCAATACACCAAATTTCAGCAAAATCGCATACTTATGCCGTTTTAAATTTTTATGGGAAAAACGATTTGAAAATTGTAACTTCAAGGCCCTCTGGAGCCCAAACAATGCAACTTTGTACTGAGGTAATTTTACTTAAATCGACATATTTTGGTCTAGGGAATATGTGGTATGTTTCTGTGAAGACCTTTTACAGACACCCTGTATATGAATTGGATGATAAATCTTCGAGGTATTCTATGATATACTAGTTCATTTACCCCTTCAATTCCCCAAGTAGAGTTTCCTGAGTAGCTTCAAGACATTGTAGTATAATTTTTGCGATTGTAGTAATTTCGCCCTGTAGATTCCTAACAAAGCTTACTTAAAGGTGAAGAAACTAGTATGTCCTCACTATTCCTCGAATTTTTATCACTCAACGCCCGCTTGAACATCAGTTTACAGTCCAACGTTTGATTATACATATTATGCATTTTACAACAGTCTGCGTTTTATTCTGTTTAAAAATTAACTTCTATATGGAGAATTTGGTTTCAACAATTTCAAATTAATGAGGGCGCAATGATTTCCATGCAAACATCACTTTTCGAGTAGGATATAATTATTATTTCCCAATGTCGATATAATTTATAGCTGAAATTACATGAATTCAACTGTAATAATTGATTAATTCGCATACTACAAATAACGAGCACTGCGGCAAGTACAGCGTGTTCCATGAAAAAAAGTATTCACGAACACTTTGTGCATTTTTTCGTGAATTGCATTGTACATTCCATTAGACGGTCGTCCACATTCATGCCAGCTTCAGTGCCAGCTGATTTTATTAGCTTGGACATTCCACATCTCTGGAGATAGTCACGTTTGATTGAAATTCGTATTGAAATTCTTTTCTGCCAAAGCGTTAGATTCGAATTCGAACGAGTTTGCAACGAATCACAATCAACGCCATATTTCATGTTGTGAACCTGGATCTGTTCTTTTTTTTTATATATGGGAACTTTTCCAAATGGTCAATACCCTCAGTTCCTATACATGTTATCATAAACAAGATGAGGAACGTGTGTTTCAAACTAAAAGTAATCGCCAGAAGTTCTCCGAAAAAAACTATACGTATTTTGTTCAATATAACCACTTGCCCTTGTTGACCGAGATCGAGCGATGTAATCTCAGAAAGGAACAAAAACAAATCGAGACAGACGACTGGCTCCAACATTCCAAGGCCTCCTTTTCCGCATAACATCTTCTGTTTCTGAAGCTGGCACCCAGCCAAGGTCACGAACACTAAGGATTACCCACATACATATGAGATATGCTTAGAGAGAGTTTGAGCGGAATCGATAATAGAGCTGAAAAAAAAGTGGGGGGGCAGTCTTAGGGAATTGCCGATACAGTGAAAACTGAGTAACTTTGATAATGAATTATTGGCATTCAAAAAAGTGCACACAAGCACACAATATAATGTATGCGGATGACACAACCATGATGATCTCTGAAAACAGCTATGAAACTACATTGCGTAATGCCAATATCGTTGCAAATCAATTTTATAAGTGGTGCAATAGTAATGGTTTGTGTGTGAATATAAAAAAAACCAATTTCATTTCTTTCATTCCAAGACACATCAATAATGATTTCTGCTCTTTAATAAGGATCAATGGCAAAAGCATTGAACAGGTTACGGCAACCAAATTCTTAGGGGTCACTCTTGATCAAAAAATAAGCTGGGAGAACCATATCAACATATTGAATAATAAAATGAGAAATGAGTATAGAAACTGTTTTGTAATACGGCAACTAAAAAACACAGTATCTCTTGATATATTACTGTTGGTCTACTATGGTCTGGTGCAGTCGAATATATCCTATGGTTTGATTTTTTGGGGGAACTCAAGTCACATTGACAAAATATTTATGATGCAAAAAAAATCATCAGGTGTATCAAAGGTGTCAATCAGAGAACATCAAGCAAACAAATTTTTATTGATTTATCTATTTTAACAGTAACATCATTGTATATATTTCTCACAATTTTAAATGTTAAAAACCAACTGGGAACATTTGTTCGAAACAGTTCTCAGCATAATTACAATACTCGAGGAGCAAAAAACTTGTATCAACCATTCTCAAGACTTACCATTGGTCAAAATTCTCATTTGTATAAAGGTATTTCACTTTATAACCATTTTGAAAACAAGTTCGGTAATGAACAACATTTTAATAATTTTAAATACTTCAAATCTCTCTAGCACAGGTTTTTGGTAAGACATGGATTTTATTCTGTAGAAGTAGAAGAATTTTGCCGGTGTTAAACGGTTTTATCAATTATACATGGATTTTAATTCGGTGTTCAATGTAATCTAAATGTAACAATAACAGTTTTCTATTTTTTAAGTCTTTATTATAGTTATAGAACCATATTTCTCATGACTAGTCTAATAAAGTAGGTACCTGTTTGAACATAATTATATTTGTTTAACATGTTTTGTACCACTTTTAAAGATGCTTAAATATATTTCTATTCTATTCTATTCTATTCTAAAGAAGTTTTCACTTCTAAAAACGATCTCACGTCGCGTGCTTTACAGGTAGGAACGATCTCAAGGTCACCACCCCTGAGAGAAAATGGCTCCGCCCCCAATTCTAGTCCCGACCTTGACAGTCACGAGGTGGAAGCCGAGTTACTGGTCACGCCCAATCAGATCGGCAAACAGAAAGGAATTTTCCCAAAACTCAGGAGACTCGTCACTAAAGTGTGCAGTACCCACCAATTCAGGAACGAACAGGTAAGTCAATATCTATGTTATTTTAAAACAAAACATCTCTTTCCCAGTAACCCCACCCTTTCTTCATGAAGGCCACGTCTTAGAAAGAATTGGTGGGGACAATCTCAAATGCTTCTATAACTTTCGTAAAACAAACAACAGCAGCTATGAGTAATGTGCTGAAACACTATGGAAAAACCTCTCTATCTCTATGTTACATTGAAGTAATACATATCATCCCTAGTTACCCCACTGCTTATTTATGTAGCCCACGCCCCAAGGGGTTGTCTTGGACTTGAAGGATAGTAGTGGGGATGATCTCAACTGGTTCTATCACTACCGTACAACAAACAACAGCAGCTATGAGTTATGAGCTGAAACATTCTCAAAATACACATCTCAATCTCTATGTTACATTGAAACAACACATCTCTTTCCCAGTTACCCCACTCCTTCTTCATGTAGACCACGCCCAAAGGGGTTGTCTTTGACTTAGAGAATAGTAGTGGGAACGATCTCAACTGTTTCTATAACTACCGTACAACGAAAAACATTGTCATTGAAGCGATATATCTCTTTCCTATATAGTAACCCCACTCCTTCTTCATGTAGACCACGCCCAAGAGAGAAAAAAGTGGTGGGGACAATCTCAACTGCTTCTATAACGACTGTACAATATCGAGCAGTCAATTCTACTGATTATGAACAACAGCAGCAGTAAAGTCGTTGTTTCAGTTGCTCTATCTCAGGCAGTTATCGAAATTAGATTGAAGTTAGTGGCTTACAATTTTATCAATACATTTCATAAAATTGCCTCCCTCATAACGCAACTGTTCATATTAATTTTCATCTAGTCAGCCCCTTATCACTAAGAACAACGCTGCCAAATTTTGAACAAATCCGTGAGAATATATTTGAATCAATTCTAGAAAACATTATTGAAAAAACTTCGACAACCTGTATCTTGGAAACAATGCATTTCCGGACCTACATTTATTGGAACTTTTTTCATAAAATGATCTGAGGAATCATCCCTCCAAATATTGCCTTGTCTTTCTCAACACCCTGTATAGGTATACAAAGTTACACGCGTGAAGAGAGTCCGGCTGTTTTACGGCCATTCCAGAAAATGCCAACGGAGTCCATAGATCTGGAGATTCCAGTGCTTGCTGCTGTCAGACTGAATTCACATTCTTTCCACATGGCATATAATTTATTTCGTGATTGACTACCAGGTACTCGAACTCCTAACACTCTACTGAGTGTGACTGAGTATTTGTTCCCCAATTTCAAGCATCGGTAGGCTGATAGTGAGTCGTACAAAGATTCGTTGTTCGTGAGGAATGATAGATTGGCACGATCGGATTAGTCTGGCTGTCTCTGGATAAAGCCCGAACGAGATCTGGAATCCCAGACAAATTTATAATGGGGGAGAGAGTTTTATATGGAATAAGGCTCGCTGATTGTCTCATTCCGTTCAGGACAGTGGACATTTCGTATCTAACATTTAGCTATGAAAGGTCACATACGGATCATGAAATCAGAAAACCTGAAATGCCAAAGTTCAACGCGATATATGTTGGCTCTTAGTTAGACAAGAGGCGTGGATTATGTCTATAGTCATTCGACTGAACGAAAAAATACAGCATAAATAATATTCACGCTTAATAAACGGTCGTCAATCAATTTCTAATTTCACAGTCCACAAGTTACGGAGAGGAAAGCCGATGTAAATTTGTAGCTGTAGACTGTAGAGTATCGCTCAAGTTGTCTGACAATATCCCAAACAGAACAGAAACAATAAAGTTGGAAACCAACTTTTAATTGGATTGTGTATTGAATGCTGAGTAGCTCTTATATTTGCCCACCACTCAGTGCCATTATTTTTTCACCATAACTTTGAATTCAATCAGATCAGAACAAAACCATCAATTGAGCTTATTCTCACTTTGAAATTCGAAGCAGAAATATCTGGAAATCCCTGGAATCTCCGATACATCAAACAACATCTCAAGATAGTTTCTCTGTTCTCAATTCTTCAAGTATCATAGAAATCACGAGGATGGGATATTCTTCATGAATGTTGAATGAAAATATCTGGTTCAACCGATTTTGTCACTACTACGAAATCTTCAGCGCCTGAAAAATGTAGCATGAAGTAGATGCAGGCCTGCCACTGCCCATATGGTAGTGAGTACATTACTAGCCTACAAAACACAGCCGAAAAACTCTGAAAGAGAACTGATGGGCGGTGCCCGAAAAGGATGTTAGCCAGCTCTCTTGAGCGAACCACATCAGTCATTGAAAACTCTTGGGGTTTGCAAAAAGGTCCCATTAGGGACTAGTTGCTGACGTGCGAACGTCCCCCACCAGAACCAGTACAGTACAGGTGCGGCTTGGATGTTAGCGAGGTTAAAATTCCTACATGGTCCTTCGAGCCGGATCATGTAGGATTTTGCCTGCATAAATATGGGGCTGGTTTCCACTTGATACAGCTAGTATAGTAGTCCAATAACGAAATTATATATTCTTGATAGTCTGACATTGAAGGTTCTTTATTGATTCCTCAATTGTATAACAAAACTATATGGTATTCATCATTCATCACCAACTATGTGAATAAAGGGTAAACTATAATGGTGATAAAATTGGCTGCTGAAGACATGTGGCATGAGATGGGCGTGGTTTAGATACAACAATTTAGCCAGATAGGTAGGCGTGACTGGCTAAACTCGCAAAGTAAGTGTTGGAACTTCGATATTCAAATAACATCCGACTCATAATATTTTTACCATTACCTGGACTGCTCTAGATCTGAATTTAGTATGCTAGTCTATGCTACCTCTTAAATATGAGGATCTTAGCTCCACCCTCCACCACATCAATAAAACATCAGACACATTCGCCTTTGAAGTGTGCTTCATCGAAAGGAATTGAAGCTTTAATTGGCCGTATGACAAGTCTTCGCTTCGTTTCTGCGGTTGCTGTGTACAATATTGCTCCCCTTTATACCTAGATGGAATTATATAAGTAGGTATATTAACAACTACGAATATTATCCGAGAAACCCTGAGGGCATAGAAGTCATGTCATTAGTGCCCTGAGGATAACGTTCAATTTACACATGGATGTGTAACGTTGATGTCTGGATCAGACTGAGAATTCCCAGACCGAATCCCATGTTTGAGACTATTTCAACTTTATCTGGGATTATATTTCAGCCCTGGGTATTCAGACAGAGCCAGACTAATCTAATTGCGTCTCCCATTTATATACACGGTCATCGAATCATTGAAAGGAATCACTGAGGCTAAGATGTGAGAATCGAAATTCAGTCATAATACAAGGTGTCATAGAACAACGTACCACAGGGTAAGGTACGGAAATACACCGTTCAGGTGTGAAAGGGCGATGAAAATAATATTATTTCCAGATTTTCTTGATTATCTCATTCACACCTGGCTGCATCCATGAAACTTCATGATTGAAGTCACATGATATGCGATATCAGACTAGTGCCATGGTGAATGTCAAAGATTGAAATATATATCAGTCACTAAAAAATTGGAATATCTCTTTTTGGGTCGAAGGACTTATCCCCCCTGTGAAATCGTTATTATCTGATCGATTTCGAAAAATTTTTTTTTCGTTGGATAGGTATTTGAAATCAACAAGGGGAGGATTTTTTTCTTGGACAGTTATCGTGGCCAACTACCACCAATTTTATTGACCCATATTTCAGAAAGAACTAGTAAGTCATCTGTGTTGCTATGGAGGAAATCCCACTTGTGGTCATCGTTCATTCCACCACTTGTAACATACCTATACCTATTTTAATTATCATTAAATACAGGGTGATCGAAAAATCAAATTATTATTTTCAAGATGAGATACTGCCTAATCATTTTTTTTTCATACACATCGTATATTTGAATGACAGAAATCAGTACAGATATGTTCAAAGTAGTCCTCAATGATAATTTGTCATTAATTCTTTTCAAAAATACGACAGAACAATACATTTTCTGATCACGCGTTAAAAAAATATATCAATTCATTTTCTTGGATACCCTGTGTTAAATGATGATAAAAACTGGCACAGGTGTTTTTTTTTCAAGTGATCTTGATTCAGAATTCACCATCATTCTCAGAGTGAAAAATTATCATGATAGAAAATATTACTCACTTATCCTTTTTATATTTTTTTCTCAGACATATTGTACATTCGCATGCTGAATTGGTACATATACAGTGTGAATCACTTCTAATGGAAACACCCCTGTATCTTTCGTACTTGTTGAGTTAGGATTCTGAAATTTGCAAGAGCAAGAAATACACTGAAAATACACACTATAACCAAGTGGAGTCATCTTCAGTGATATACACTGCTCGCCAACAGCCATGAAGCCACCCAAATTTTCGGAAAATGATATTAGGAGGCAAGATACATTGAAAATCACTTCGGATTCGAAATCAGAAATGAATCTGGAAACTGGTGGAACAAAAAAATTCAGAATCTAGGAAAAAATTCGAACTTTTTTCAGAGCAGAGATAGCTCAATTCTGTTTTCACCATTGACTTTTTTGGGTCGAAAAACTGCCTAATTAGGTCACAGAACCGAAATGGAAGCGATATCAAGACAGATCACGAACATTTAGATTTCAGTTATGGAAATTGATCAGTAGGTCCTAGGAAAAAAATCGAACTTTTTTCAGAGCAAAGATAGCTCAATTCTGTTTTCACCATTGACTTTTTTGGGTCGAAAAACTGCCTAAATAGGTCACAGAACCGGCAAGGAAGCGATATCTAGACAGATCACAAACATTTAGATTTCAGTTGAGGAATTGATCAGTAGGTCCTAGGAAAAAAATCGAACTTTTTTCAGAGCAGAGATAGCTCAATTCTGTTCTCACCATTGACTTTTTTGGGTCAAAAAACTGCCTAATTAGGTCACAGAACCGAAAAGGAAGCGATATCTAGACAGATCACAAACATTTAGAATTCAGTCAAGGAAACTGATC